TGGACGGATTATAATCTAGATCATGTTGGGCATGCTTGTGGGTGGTTCTATCTACCATTTAGATGAATGAGGCAAAAGAACAGTGGTGATGAGACTACTTTTTTTTTTGCCAGTCCTGGGGTTTGAACTCAGGGCCTAGAACTATCCCTGAGCTTCTCTCTGTGCTCAAGGCTAGTGCTCTACTACTTGAGCCACAACGCCACTTCTGGTCTTTTCTGTTTATGTGGTAATGAGGAATCAAACCCAGGGCTTCAAGCATGCTAGGCAAATACTCTGGTACTAAGCCAATTCCCGGTTTCCCACCACCACCACCACACACACTTTTTTTTCCTGGTCCTGGGGCTTGAACTCTCAGCTTAGACACTTCCCCTGAGCTTCTTTTGCTCAAAGCTAGCACTCTACCACTTGAGCCACAGCGCCACTTCCAGCTTTCTTCTGAGTAGTTTATTGGAGATAAGAGCCTCACAGACTTTCCTCCTTGGGCTGGCTTCTAACCACAATCCTCAGATCTCAGCCTCCTGAGTAGCTATATTACAGGCTTGAGCCACTCATACCTGGCAACAATTTTCTAATATTACCTGTGACTGGGAGTCTGCTGGCCGCCTAGACTTTTAGGTCTCTGGCTAACCTCACCAAACCTCCAGAAATTAGTGAGCTACATCTTCAGAGTATCTACCTCTCCCTGCCACCAGAGACCTAGTAGGGTGCTTTCTGAATGAGCTCTATGCAGACTCAAGGGCTGTAAGGGATCCAGTGATCAACTCTATGTATGCCTTTGGAAATGACCTGGTAGAAGACTGGTGTGATCTATCACACACTTAGAAGTCTTCCAAAAATATCTTCACCACTTGTACCATGTGACATCTAAAATGTTTACTATTCGAGTCCTTAAAGTTATTCAAAAGGAGCCTGGTGCCAGTGACTCACGCCTATAATCCTAGCTACTCAGGAGCCTGAGATCTGAGGATCATGGTTCAAAGCCAGCCGGGGCAGGAATGTCCATGAGACTCTTATCTCCAATAAACCACCAGAAAACCAGAAGTGGTGCTGTAGCTCAAGTGGTAGTGTGCTAGTCTTGAGCTAAAGAGCTGAGGGACAGCTCCCAGGCCCCACAACCGACCCCCCCCCCAAAAAAAAAACAAAAACAAAACAGTTATTCAAAAGGAAACGGTACTGGTTGCTCAAACCTACAATTTTTTTAATATAATTTTTTTTTAAGCCAGAACTGAGGCCTGGGAAGGTGGCTCAGTGGTAGAGTGTTTGCCTTGCATGCATGAGGCCCCGGTTCAATTCCTCAGCACCACATAAGCAGAAAAGGCTGAGTGGTACTGTGGCTCAAGTGAGAGAGTGCTAGTCTTGAGCTGAAGAGCTGAGGGAAAGTGCCTAGGCCAGAGTTCAGGCCCCACGACCGACAAAAAAAAAGCCAGAAGTAGTGGTGTGATTCAAGTGGTAGAATGCCAGCCTTGGGAGAATGGCCAGGCCTTGAGTTCAAACCCTAGTACAATTGCAAAACAGCAACAAAAAAGTTATTCTAAAGGTCTCTAGAAAAATTCAAATATTAATGAAATCCTAGCTACTCAGAAAGCTGAGATTTGAGGATCATGGTTTGAAGTCAGCCCAAGCAAGAGAATCTGTGAGACTCTTACCTCTAATTAACTACTCAAAAAAAGCCAAAAGTGGTGCTGTGGCTCAAGTGGTGAAGTGCTAGCCTTAAGCACAAAAAGGCTCAGGGACAGTGACCAGGCCCTAAGGTCAAGTCCCAGGACTGGCAAGTGTGTGTGTGTGTGTTTGTGTGTGTGTGCACATGTATATGTGCAAAATATTTGTATACACAAATATTTTGTGCCAATGGCTCATACTTAGAAACCTAGCTAGTCAGGAGGATGAGATCAGAGGATCAAGGTTCAAAGCTAGCCAGGGCAGAAAAGTCCATGAGAGGGGCTGGGAAGATAGCTCAGTGGTAGAATGCTTACCTTGCATGCATGAGGCCCTGGGTTCGATTCCTTAGCACCACATAAGCAGAAAGAGCCGGAAGTGACACTGTGGCTCAAGTGGTAGAGCACTAGCCTTGAGCTGAAAAGCTAAGGGACAGCGCCCAGGCCCTGAGTTGAAGCCCCATGACCAACAAAACAAAAAAGAAAAAAAGAAAGTCTGTGAGATTTCATCTCCAATTAACCAGCAAAAAACAGGGCTTATTTAAGTCCTGGAACTGGCAATAAAACAAAAAGAAAGAAAAGGGGAGGGGAGAGGCAAGGAAAGAAAGAGGAAGCGGAGAGAGAAAGAAATGAAACAAATATCCATTCACTCATGGCAGGGGACTGGTGCAGTAGTAAAATAACAAACTAGTGGTAGTCCTGCTTAGGATAGCAATCCTGGGGCAGAGGAGTAGGATCGGAGAAGAGGAAGGATTAGGGGTATTTCTTTTTTTTTTTTTTGCTGGTCATGGGGCCTGAACTCTGGGCCTGGACACTGTCCCTCCGTTCTTCAGGTCAAGGCTAGTGCCACAGCACCACTTCCAGCTTTTTCTGCTTATGTGGTGCTGAGGAATTGAACCCAGGGCCTCATGCATGAGAGGCAAGCACCCTACCACTGAGCCACCTTCCCAGCCCGGATTAGGGGTGTTTCTATAAAAGGTGTATAGGGGTGTATAGCACACCTTTTATATGTGGTTTTTAATTACACTGAAAAATTTCTGATGGCTTTAACCATAGCACTGATAGAAATTTGGGATATCTCACTCACACACACCCTTATAAGCCACTCTTAACTCTACCACTGCAATAAGAGAAACCAGTTAATGGCAAAGTCCTTGGAAATTGAGACATAATTGACCTGAGAGGGGGCTTTCACATTCAACTAGTCACTCTGGTAGCTGACACACCACAGCTGAGCTAAGGAATATCCACAGAGGATCTTCTATCCTCAGAAGGAATTCTTGGCCAGCCCCACTCCCAGGATGAGGCTGAGGAGAAAATAACAGGTCCTTGGGTCAAAAGTGGTAGAAAAATACACTGTAAATCGTGTCTGTATTATCCAGTCACATAATACAATGCCATTATCTTTTGTCACATGATTTCTTTCCCTCACCTCTAGTTTCTCCTCCTCCCTTCTCTATCCTGCACTCTGTTTTGATTTGGTTAAAATAGATGCAAACTCTGGTCTTTTCTATTTTTACTACCTAGCCATTACATAATCTACACTGTAATTGCTGACTTGAAAAACTATTGGCAACAGTAGAAAAAAATCCCCAGAGTTTAAAACAGGAAAAGGATTATTACAGCACAAAAGCCTCTGGCAGCTTTACTGACTGGTAAACCGTCTGTAATCGTCACTTGCCAGTGGAAGTCACATGGCTCTGGGAATCACTCCTCAACTGCAGAGAAAGCAGACTGGGGGAAGGGACAAAAGACAGCTTTGGCTGGGAGAATGTGGCAGCAGTGAGGGAACGCTCAGACTTGAAGGCTGCTTCAGCTGAACGTGTTGAAGGAGTGTGCCCCAGATAACCCATACACCTTCCTGCTTTACTTTCATATAAGGGACTGAAGTCTCCCATGGCTAAGACCTTTTCCTCATTAACACCTGACCTTCCAATAGCCTCCAAAACATTCCTGAAAGAACCTGAGGGACAGTAGACCACCCTATTTAAATAGGTGCCACTTTATAAATACACAGGGGCAAGGATGCTGCTTGCTAGGCATAGAGAGGTCCTCTCCAAGGCTCTCCAAACATTACGCCAAAACTATTCTGTTTTTCAATAAAATGGTTTGGTACAGGGTTTCACAATCTAATAGAAATTTACTATCTCACTGAGACAAATTTCTCTGTATGTCTATGTTGGGAGTATGGATAATATAGGAGATATAGGCAGGACAAGGTTGTCTTCCTCTAACTTTGCAAATTCTGTCACAGTCCAAACTGCAAGAAACAAGAAAGTCATCCAGTTTGGGTTGACTACATAGAACAACTCATTTGGTGAACATTTGTTGAATGTCACATACTGGATTAAATGTTGGGGATGCATTAGAGCAAAATCTATATGGGTAGAAGTGCTAGGTCAGTGAGGGGAAGCAGACATTAATCAAAGTAGTAGATAAACACATCATTGCAACTACAAAGAATGATTATGAGTTGGGTGCCAATGGCTCATGCCTGTAATCTTAGATACTCAGGAGGCTGAGATCTGAGGATCACGGTTTAAAGCCAGCCAGGGCAGGAAAGTCTGTGAGACTCTTTTTTTTTTTTTTTTTTTTTTTGTAGGTCGTGGGGCTTGAACTCTGGGCTTGGGCACTATCCCTGCGTTCTTCAGCTCAAGGCAAGCACTCTACCGCTTGAGCCACAGCACCACTTCCTGTGAGACTCTTATCTCTAATAAACTACCAGAAAACTGGAAGTGGCACTGTGGCTCAAAAAAAAAAAAAAAAAGAATGATTAGGAGGGGAAGGTATAGGGTGCTCAGGACATTTAGAACAGGGAGCCTGGAGAGGGTCTCAGGATTCTTAAGATTACCTTAAGGAGTCTCAGGGTTCTTTTAATTTAGCACTGCTTCTTCCTTCCTTTCCCTTCCCTTCCCTTCCCTCCCTCCTTCTTTGCTTCCTCTAGCTAAGATTTCCTGGGTTTCTACTATGCAAGGGATAATGCTAGGTAATTTACACTCTAACCAATTAGATCTTAATCTGATTTTTTTTTTTTTTTTGGTTGGTCATGAGGCTTGAACTCTGGGCCTGGGTGCTGTCCCTGAGCTCTTCAGCTCAAGGCTAGCACTCTACCACTTCAGCCACAGTGCCACCTCTGGTTTTCTGGTGGTTTATTGGAGATAAGAGTCTTACAGAGTTTTCTGCCCAGGCTGGCTTTGAACCGTGATCCTCAGATCTCAGCCTCCTGAGTAGCTAGGATTACAGGTGTGAGCCACTGGCACCCAGCTTAATCTGATTTTTATAACAATTCAAATTTAGCACTTTAACACTAACGGATCTATAAAAAATAAAAACTGAATTATACTCTAATGAGAACTACATACAATTTATGGCATGAATTAGTTAAAACATTTCTGGCTACAAGTGACAAAAATCCAAATCCAACTCTTCATAAGGGGAACAAAAGTGAGGTAGGAGGGGAAAGAGATATAGGGGTCGTGTAAAGGAGATGTCCAGGATTATACTCGCTTAAGGCATGGTTAGATCCAGGTACTCAAAAAGACTTCATCTAGTCTCCAGCTTTCTCTATCTCACAACTTAGATTTCACCCATGTTGGCTTCTTTCTCAGACAGCATTCTTGGGACAGCAAGATGGTTCCTAGTAGCATGAGGCTGTAAAGAAATAAGAGCACTTCTTAATAGTTCCAATTAACATGGAGTTCTGATTGGCCTAGACGTGGGGTGATGCCCATATCAACTACTGTTCTCTGACCTAAATAATGTCCTCCACTCAGCAGTAGTATGGCTAGAAAAGCTGACAGTCTCTGCTTTTTTAACCAGTATCTTCAGGTTCTCTGTAACTCATAGGAAAAGAAGAATAAGACAAAGTCCTTCTTTTGTTAGGAAGTTTGGCTTCTCGCTTGAAGTTCTAACTGAAAATTACTTCCATTTGTGTAAAAAGAGAAATAAATAACAAGAGAGTTACTGGAGTATCCACAGAACAAGATCTTTGGTCTATTGTTAAAACATCCTGCCAGGTACCAGTGGCTTACGCCTGTAATCCTAGCTACTCAGGAGGCTGAGATCTGAAGATCTCAGTTCAAAGCCAGCCTGGTCAGGAAAGTCCATGAAATTCTGATCTCCAATTAACCACCAGAAAACCAGAAGTGGTGCTGTTGCTTAAGTGGTAGAGTGCTAGCCTTGAGCAAAAGAAGCTCAAGGACAGTACCCAGGCTGGCTCTGAGTTCAAACCCCAGGTTTGGCAAAGAAAGAAAGCAAGAAAGCAAGCAATCAAGCTGCTTAGATTTCCCTATGCTAAGTTCCATGAGAAGTTCAATGGCCTTCCCAGAATATCTGCAAATTCCAAGATGCTAATACTCTTAGTAGTCTCTCTGACTCTAATTTCTATTCTTTTGTGCTAACGAGTTGGCTATGTGATTGTTTATAATGATTTTTGCCAGGTATTTGTTTTTCATTTTTATGTGGCAAAGCTAATTACAAACCAAAAGGTACTGGAAGAGGAACAATGTACTTCATGCCCTGAGCTGCATGGCCTTTTCTACGCAGGTTCCTATGCTGGAATGGATTATTAGGCAATTGTTTTTAGAGCTGATCAAGTCTAGTAGAATTTTTGTTGTTGTTTTTGTTAGTTGTAGGGCTTAAACTATGGGCCTGGACGCTGTTCCTGAGCATTTCTGCTCAAGGCAAGTGCTCTACACTTGAGCCACAGTGCGACTTCCAGTTTTCTGGCGATTAATTGGAGGTAAGAGTCTCCCAGACTTTCCTGCCTGGCTTTGAACCTCAATCCTCAGATCTCAGCCTCCTGATTACAGGTGTGAGCCACCAACATACTCATCTGGTTTATAGTCAAGGTGAAGATGAAACTAAATTAGGAAGGGCAAAAAAAAAAAAAAAAAGGTGAATTTTATTTATCTATTTATTTGTTCGTTGTGGGACTTGAACTCTGGGCCTGAACACTGTCCCTGAGCTCTTCAGCTCAAGGTGAGTGCTCTACCACTTGAGCTAGAGCGCCACTTCCAGTTTTCTGGTGGTTAATTGGAGATAAGAGTCTCACGGGCTTTCCTTATCTGGACTGGCTTTGAACCTCGATCCTCAGATCTCAGCCTCCTGAGTAGCTAGGATTACAGGTGTGAGCCACCAACAACCGGCAATTGTGAATTTTTGTTTCAGCTAGTGGAAGTTTCTTTTATAAAAATGTTTGGAATTATGGACTAATAATGCTGAAGAAATCCTAAACTAGTGAAAATTCAAAAATAACTTTACAAATAATGTTGTGTCTAGACTCCTCAAACTATGTATGTACACTTTGAGGCATTATTTGCTGTCACTATGAAGGGAATTACTTAAGACAGCCCAGGAAGGGGCTAGGAAGGTGGCTCAGTGGTAGAGCGCTTGCCTTGCATGCCTGAGGCCCTGGGTTCGATTCCTCAGCACCACATAAGCAAAAAGAAAAAAGCCGGAAGTGATGCTGTGGCTCAAGTGGTAGAGCACTAGCCTTGAGCTGAAGAGCTGAGGGATAGCACCCAGGCCCAGAGTTCAGGCCCCACAACCGGACCCTCCCCCTCCCCCAAAAAAAGACAGCCCAGGAAAAATAAACTTCAGACAACCCCCTACTCCCCCACCCCCTCACCACTACCACCCCCACCCCACTCCCACCCCCGCCCCCGCCAAAATAGAAAGGTTTAAGAGTCTACTAACTCCTGGAATCTTATACAAGAAACTTTCTAAAAGTTTCTATGCAAGTCTGGGTATAGTAGTCCCAGCATTCAGTTGGTAGAGGCAGGTGATTCAACCTAGGAAACAACAAGACTCTACCTCAAAAACAAATACAAGCACCTTATTCAGCCTCAGAGAAAATTAGCACTGGTCCAATCTGATCCAGCTAACCAAAAACACCTAGTGACCAAAGGGGACTTTGTCTACAAGAGGGCCATAGCCCAGGACTTTGTAGAAATCATTCTACTTGTCCAGAATGCACCCCTACCAATCTCATTAAACTTCATGTTATTTAGGCAGGCAATGTAGAAGGTGAGCCTGAAAATGCTCCTAATAGTTCTTTAGGAACTTGCTTTCTAGACAATGAAGGTTCCACGATAAAGGCACTCTTACCTACCCAGTAGTACAAAGAGGAAAAACAAATATCCGTCTTGATGATGTCTCAAAATCATTATTATTACACCCCTTTGCCAAGTGCACCCAACAACTACACTAGGCATTACTACTGTCATCTACTGACCTCCTGGTCATCAAGAACTCAGCTGCAGTCTGTCTTTCCACAACAAGTCAGACCTTGCCTGGTCATGACCTTCTCTATATTTATACTTCCCCTCATCTTTTCTTCTACAGCTTCTATTCTTCAATTTCACTGCTATTTCCATCCCCAAAGAACTCATTCCCTATCACACTGCCACCCATCATTCCTTTCCTTGATTCACTTTCTTCAGTCAGTTATTCTGCCAATTCTCTGAATCCTTTATCCCATGTCTTCATTGTCCCACAACACATAGCTTCTTTCTGAATACAGATGTCTTTTGCTTTATTTTTTGACAGTACTGGGGTTTGAACTCAAGACCTTAAGCTTGCTAGGCAAGCACTTTAATGGTGAGACATGCCTCAGTCCCTTTTTGCACTGTTTTGAGAGAAGGTCCTGTTTTTTTCCCAGGTGTGCCAGGACTACAATCTATTTTATGATTTCTATCATAATGGGATAATAAGTACATACCACCATGCACAACTTTCTTCTTCTTTTTCATGGCGCTGGTGTTTGAACTCAGGGCTTGTACTTGCTGAATAACACTTAAGCCACACTCCAAGCCCGTTCATATCAGATTCTTTGGGAATCTAGGCAGGATTTTCTGCCTAGGCTGGCTTAAAGCAGCAATCCTTCTGACCTCAGACTCCCACACAGCTGGAATGACAGGCACATGTCATGCATCCAGCTACTGGTTGAGAATGGGTCTTATGTGTGTGTGCCTGAGCTGCTCTTGAACTGAAATTCCTCCGATCTCAGCATCACAAGTATGTGGGGTTATAGGTCCAGCCAGATGTCCTCTGCTTTAATTTCTACGTGCTCCATTGAGTCATGAAGGCTTTTTATCTTTTAAAAAAATCCATCCTCCTTAACACTAGGTCTTCATCAATGCTCAGCTATCCCTTCATTTCCTTTCAGCTATCCCACATCATCTCCCTCCTATCACTGTAATTGACAGAGGAGCTCTCTGAAACCATTCCTATCTCCTCCATTATCCCAAATTGCTCCGAGTAGATGATTTCACTTCTGCCCAGAGAAAACAGCTCCCAGTAAAACAGGCTTTGTTGGGGGGGGGGGGGGGGTGCCAGGAAGACAGAGGAGGGTGAACAGAGGGTGAATAAAGATAAATAAGGATACAATAGTTTACTTGTATGAAAATAGAACAATGAAATGTTGAAATTGTTTTAAGAAAGAGAAAAGTGAGGAAGAGAGGGTAACAGAGAGGGCCAGTTTGATTAGGATATATTGTATGCATGGAAATGTCACAATGAACCCCCCCATAACTAATGTGTGCTAATTTTTTTAATATGTGTGCCAGTCCTGGGGCTTCAACCCAGGACCTGGGCATCACTGTCCCTGAGATTTTTTACTCAAATTTAGTACTCTACACCACTTGAGTCATAGTTCCAGACAGCTTTTTGCTATTTAATTGGAAATAAGAGTTTCACTGACTTTCCTGTCCAGGCTGGCAGCTTCCTGAGTAGCTAGGATTACAAGCATGAGCAACCAGCACCCAGCTTAAATTTTTTTAGTTATGCCGAAATAAATGGAAGGAAGCAAGGAGGGTGGAATAGGAGAGGAAAGAAAAGGAGGGGAGGGAAGAAGAGGATGACTAGAAAAGGAAGGAGAGGGGAGTGGCCTCCAGAGTTGAGCAAACCTTTGCCTCCCTTTTTACTAGCTGCAGAGCAAAAGAGTGAACTGCAGCCAGGCATGGGTGGCTCATGTCGGTAATCCTAACTATGTGAGGTTGTGGTTCAAAGCCAGCTCCGGCAGCAAAGTCTATGACTCTAATATCCAACAAACTACTCAGAAAAAGCCAGAAGTGGTGCTGTGGCTCAAGCAATAGAGTGCTAGCTTTGAATAAAAGAATCTCAGGGCAGTTGTCAGGCCCTGTGTTCAAGCCCCAGGACTGGCCAAAAAATCCAAAGAAAAACAAAACAAAAAAATCAATTAAAAAAAAAACTTTTTAAAGACTCTGATATCCAATAAACTATCAAAATGACAAAGGTGGAGCTCAAGTCGTATAGTGCTAGCCTTGAGCTTTTAAAAAAGCTCAGGGTCAGCACCCAGGCCCAGAGTTTAAGCCCCAGGACCAGCAAAAAAGAAAAGAAAAATGAAAAAGAAAGAATATGTGGGTACTGATGGCTCATGCCATCAGTTATATATACTAGTTATCCAGGAGGCTGAGATCTGACGATCAGGGTTCAAAGCTAGCCTAGGCAAGAAAGTCTATGAGATTCCAATTAACTATCAATAAGCCAACCTTGAGCAAAAAAGCTCAGGGTTCAAGCCCTAGGACCGGCACCCAAAAAACAAAAAGGTTATTTAACATGTTTTTTTAAAACAAACGTGTTTTTGAAAAATCTTTTTTTTTTTTTTGGGTCAGTTGTGGGGCTTGAAC